CCGAGGGTTGCGATCCCGTTACCGGTCAGTAAAAAAGACAAAAAGGAAAAAAAAATAGTATTTCAAATATTCTCAAAATTTCAAAGATTTGAGATTCTCATTCTGAACAATGCCAACTGACCAGAGAAACGGCTTTTTTGTACTTGAAGTTCTAGATTTGGTGGCATGTGGTATGAGACAGATTCCTAAATGACATCACCTACAGACCTCTCCTCCATCACACAGTGTAGTGAAAGGTTCAGTAAACTTGTCAGATACAAAATGAAAAGAAGGCAAGAAGCCACCAAGCAGTTCTCTTGGCCGTGTGTCAGCCTCAGCACGCTTTGTCCAATGGCATGGGGACACATCAGCAAAGTGACAAAGGGAGGATGGAGATCCTCCCAGCACCTTGCTCAGGCTCCAGGGCCCTGGTAGAGCAAGGGAATGACACATGCATCAGTGCTCCGAGAGCTTTTCCTAGCAAAGGCTTTAAAGAAAGGAAAACTTCAATATCGTTTGAACGGCTTTTCTTGCATAATCTAATTTTCCTGGGAGCGAAGGCATTAATGAGAGGAAGGACAGAGTAGTCCTTTTATATGTGGCTGCAAATGGGCTGAACACTCAGCTGTGCGGCCTGTGAGCTGTAAATGTATATTAACACTGACACACATCGATGTATTATTAATCCTAAAAACCATGTGTGCTCTGACTGCACATCCAGTTACTGGCCTTTCAGACCTAAGTACCCCAGCCATTTAAGAGCTCTTCGCTCTAAATCCATTTGCAGACGAGCGGCCATTCTGCATTATGGATCTGTAATGGGGTGTGCATTTAGCTGCTTAAAAGGACTCTCGGTGTGTGTTTTGCATTCACCACCTGTACTGGGGCTGGGCACACACTCCAAGTGTGCATTAGCCATGGTATATAATTGATCCTTGCGAAACAAATATTGAGTGGCTGTTAAGAGTAGTTACTCCTCCATGCTCAGTTGCTGTTCTTGAAATTAGACTTTGAACTTGTATATTTTAATTAAGCTGTTGATGCATACAGTGGACAAAACTGAAGAATTAAAAAGTAAAATTGCTTTCCCCTTTTTCCCCTATTTATTCTGGTCAAAGTTGGTTTAAGTGTGTTAGGAGTAATCTTCTACCTCTTCACCCTAAAGATGTTTCTTCGTTGTTAACAGAGGTAACTTCCCCCTTATTCTAAGCTATTTCCCAAACTTTGATCTTTCATGTACCATATTTATTATTTTTGACAAATTCATGGGCCATCAGTATTATTGTTTTGGTTTGGGGGTATGTTTGGGGTTTTTGGGTGGCTGGCCGGTACAAAGATCCAAACCCATGACCTTAGTGTTATAAGTCTACACTGTAACCAACAGAGCTAACTGGGTAGCTCAATAATAATATTATTACTAACAACATATTTCTTTGAGTCAACTCATTATTAATGTAGATAATTTTATTTTAAAAGGAACAATGTCAAAACCAAAAATTGAAAAAGAGAAAACTAGAATCAGTTGCCAAAATTATGAAATGTTAGTGCCCCTTTATCTGGAGAGTAATATTTTCACTGTGATGAGCATCCAAGCCAAGTCAGCTTCTAACTCACTTTATTTCACAACAAGAATCCCAGAGTGGACTTGAGTGCATGTAAGCCTACCTGGCTTCCAGAGAGACACCACATTTGAAAACCTCATCTCATAAACATTGGCTCCTGAAAATAACAAAGTTCTCTAAGTACACCTGTGGGACAAAGTGAAAAACAAGTTTTAAAAAAAGGCACACAGATTTAACCAGCTTCAGGTGGAAAAATCTGATGGTTAGCCTGTGATTTACTTCTGATATGTTGTCTTGTACTTCCAATTGTTTTTAAATAACAACTAATAGCTATGAAGTACTAAATATGTACCAGGCATTGTGCAAAGTACTTAATACATACTATCTTATTCGTCTCCATATCAGCAATATGAAGGAAATCCTATTTTAACCAATCTCTATGAAGTACTAAATATGTACCAGGCATTGTGCAAAGTACTTAATACATACTATCTTATTCATCTCCATATCAGCAATATGAAGGAAATCCTATTTTAACCAATCCTCCCCCACAACCAACACTTTCTTTTTTTTGTAGCTGGCCATCCCCACCAATTTTTTTAACTTTTTATATTGAAATCATTTTAGATGTGCAGACACAAGCTGCAAAAATAAGACAGTTTTCAAGCAGAGTTCACCCAGCTTTCCCCAATGTCAACACTTTAAATTTCCATAGTTCGATTATCGAAACTAGAAAATTAACATCCATGCAGTGCTATTAACTAACTTACAGACTTTCTTCTAGTTTTGCCCTTCCTTCCTGGGCCAAGATCTCACGTTGTATTTAGTTGTCCTGTTTCCTTAGTCTGTCCAATCTGTGACCATTCCTCAGTCTTTTCTTGTCTTTCCAAACTTTGACCCTTTTGAAGACTATTCATCAGGTATTTTGTAGTACGCCTTTCAATTTGGGTGTGTCTGATATTTTCTCGTGATTAGTTGGAGGTTACACATTTTTAGCAAGACGCTGTGCCCTCAGGGCATCATATCAAAGATGCACCTCTCATTTGAATATGAAAAAAAATGTTTAATGTGGTCATATGTGTCGAGTGTGTGCACCTTTTTTTCCCTCTTCCACATAAGGCAGAAGCTAGAAGGCTCTGTCCCACTGGTCCTGCACAATTTGTCAGTGGCTATGACAAGTTGCCACTCATAAACAACTTTGGGGCCCAAGAAGCTCCTGAGAGTTAGCAGGGAGTAACGTGGAGCAGACAGAATGAGGTAATCAGACTAGCAAGTGCAGAGAGGAAAGACAGCTGGTCCTGAGTCTCCTG